AGCGACATTCTCAGTAGGATAGATCATTCTGGAACTGAAACATTCCATAACAATGGGCCAAGTGCGGAACCCTGAGGACAGCCACGACTCACAAATCGGCTCGAACTAACATGACGGCCGATCTTTACTTGATATTTCCGTTCATTTAAATAGCTGTTTAAGAGTTGAATAGCGCTTTCCTGGAGACCGTACGCTTTAAACTTGCATAGAAGTAATAATGGGTGCAACGAGTCAAATGCCTTTGACATATCTGTTGAAAGTGGGCTCACTGCACAACCTGTCTTTGATCCATCGCAATGACGATTCAATCGAGTTTTGGTACTCTTTCATTCAATACCTAGCGAAAACCGTAAAAATTGTTCCCGAAAAAAGGACGGTAGACAGACAATTGAAGCATTTGGACCAGAAAAGGGCATAAACCCAAATCAGTTATGTGACTAGTCCTAACTAAGAGGCCCTCAAACTTACAATAGAGTTTTTGTCTTTTTCATGGTTTCCCATCCTGAATATAATGAAATCTTTCAAAATGTTGTACTGATCATCTCAAGTGGTTGAAGTGCAAACACTTAAGCAAGTTTGAGTTAAATCGAATTGCGCACTAAGAGGATCATCAATCCAACCGGAGCTGATACCAGTTTTAGTATAGCACTGAAGCGACTATGAGTTCTACTATTGCCTCTAAAGCAGACGATAGTCCATCGAAGGGTTGTCCCCAAAATGTCCTGACAATTTTCTATGCACAGTTATTTTCCAGGATAGAGACAGTTACTTTGTAAGTATCTTAACTTACCTAAGAGCACAACACACCGCCTGACCAGGTCACCGCTGGTCAGGCACTGGGTCCGAACACGGTCCCCTCCTGAACAAGAGGCCTGCCCACTAACCAAGAAGCCATTATGCCCCTGGTCTTCAGTATTTCCTCTATTTCGTCACACAGATTCGTTACCATTCTCTATTACCTTAATGACGTAGAGGAAGGAGGAGAAACAGCTTTTCTGATAGCAGACAATTCCACAATAAAACCAGAGGTGGGGTGTCTTCAATTTCTGAACACCTTAATGAAGAAATAAGCTTGAAATTCGGATTTGATGGGGGGTCCGATCTTGCGCCTCCCAGTTTTCTGGTTAAGCGCTTCCACCAACTGAGGTTTGAAGCCACATCTTGGAGATGCGTCGAAATTTTTCATGCTCCTTTTTTGCAATTTCTTCAGTAGCACTTAACCCGTCAGAATTAATTTATCAATTTTCCTAGAGTTCTGTTCGTATCTCTTTTAAAGGGAACCTCCACTCTTTTAACAGATAATGCTCAAAATGTTCCAAATGTACTTCTTAATAGATCTGGCTTAAAAGAATTCCTATTAAGCGATCTCATTTTTTTTTTATCCTTTTTTAAAGAAGGCACAGGCACTTCGAATTTCCCTCTCAAGATCCCATCCAAATTGTCCTTTCAGTCTGTGGTTTACGTCTCATAGCAATATTTCAGAAACATACATAATTGCTACGTCAAACAATATTTCCTAGTTGATGATATTTTGTATTCTCTTCGCCTATCCGCTTGACAATGTATCAATATATACATGGAAAGGAGAAATAACTAACTGGTCATTCTTTAATATAACACGCAGGACCTGGAGAGTGACAACACTACCACGGACGAATTTAACTTGAGCGTCAACTGCCACATGGCAAACCTTGTCATCCCTCCCAAGAAAGGTACCGCCATAATGTGGTACAACAATTTTATTGATCCGGAGAGCGGTATGTTAGGACCTGTGGATCGTTATTCACTGCATGGCGGCTGTGACGTCATTAAAGGAGAGAAATGGATTGCCAACAACTGGCTAACAGCGCCGAACAAGAACTCAAAACACATCAGGAGTATCTACGATGCAGAATTTTAGGATTAGACTGACCTGGTGTAAAATAGCTTAGTAGGATCTCTCCTTTGAAATATCGCTTTACCGGCAGAACAAATTCTAAGCGGTTCATAAATAAGCAACTTTTCATCCAATTGACAAATGCACCTTTCGATGAAAAAGCGAATAGAAGCTTGACGAGGACAAATATCACGGAGTACTTTCTGGAGTAAAATGTCTTCTTTTTAATTCATTACAAAACTTCCTTTCATTCGAAAACGTCCTCATTGAACGGTTTATTTGCAACACGTTTCACTCGCTATTTAATAACTGGCATGTACTTTTTCCGATTTTTTTTTCGATGGTGGGGAGTGGAAGAGGATAAAACCGGTCAGGAAAAACTTTATGAAATAAATACAGCCTCCGTATTATCCACCGTGTATCTTATTCTGGATATCCCCCAGGTAACCCCCCCTCCCGCCCTCGTAGAGCTTTGTCATGTTTCTATTCTTTCATTTGATTGGTTGAGAGAGTGGCTTGAGCCCGGTTGGTCCAATCACAGACGAGCTTAATGAAGCAACCGCTGTGCAATCGTGGTTACTTTTCATAAAACGGGTTTCTCTATCGTCCTTTGCTTTTGGTATTTTGCAATTTTGGTGAACGTCTTTTATCCAGAAAGAGCTCTCTGCATTACATTTCAAAGGACCTTAAAATAATGTCGATAGTCTATTTTATGGTACAATTCTAAGTCATTTGAGGGTAGAATAGATGTAAACTGGTAAATCATGTCTGAAAAGCAAACCTGGGAATTACAAATTATGTTAAGTCAATAATCTCAGAACGAATATTTGTTACTTACTCGGAGCAGCGTGAAAAGGACTATTGTAGCATTTCTTTCTAGATAAAAAAACTGCTTAAATGCAACGAAAACACTGATGCGCCTCTTGGTCTGTGCTCTGTTTAGGTTCAAAGCTTTCTCTTTTTTTTTTATTAATGTGCTGAAAGGAGCTTATTTGCGTAAATCCAGGTCCTTTAAAACTGAATATATAAAAACACTAAATATCAATGTTATACCTACGTATTTGTACGTTGTGAACTGGCCCAGCACGCTATGATAAATGCTTAATGATAAATCGAGGTTTCTAATCTGACTAGAGGACGCAATGAGTCTGCGCTCTACAGCGATTAAAAAGAAATTCCTTGCTTTCTTTTCGGGTCGCCCACTCAGAGTTCAGAATGATAAGTCTGGACCGGCATTAGCTGTTTAGATGAAGAATTTTAACGCTTAGCTCAAATATGTTTATCTCTCAGTCCGGAATTCAAACACGTGTGGTCCTGGTTGAGTGTAATTTGTCAAAAAGCGACTGATTACTGGACGTTAAGTGGAAAATTCCTAAATTCTAGTGATACTTTAAATCGCGGAAAGCGCCCGTCAATGAAAGGACGACTACTTCATAATATTCTAAGACGCTTTGTTGTTACCTGCGCAAAATTACTTCCTAAGGAAATGAAAAAATATACATCATTTCAGTGGAACAGAAACAAGAATATCAAACAGCGAAGAAAAACAAAAAAACAAAAACAAAAAAAACAGATGTACTGAGAGGGAGGAGGTTAAAGGCGTTGACAAGAATTAGAACAATCCAGCATTCAGCGCAAGTTATGTTCACAAAAGATAAACTTAAACAGGCATTTAGATTTATTGCAACTGTGTCCAAATAAGGAAAAAAGAAGCTACTGCTGAAGAGATAGCTCCCACGTGCAAAGTAACTCAGTTGCCGATTTCCTCTGTTTAATCGGATCCTGTGTTGTTTTAAACCTCACGAGAAGTTACTTCGGGGGGGAGAGAGAGGAGTGCCTGCTCATTTCCCGAACAGTCACAGGAAATCAGGCCTGACGTTTCGTATTTGAGAACCGAAGTTTAAAGATATTTATGAGGGCTTCATTATCGTTACATAATTGTTTGTGCGCCACAGTACACTTTAGTAGCTCCCAGTGAACACAAAAACCATTCAACGTCATTACTGAATTAAATTAGGTTACTAGCTAAGCGCGAGCCGAAACATTTCATTAACAGTCTTCGCTGGTTTTCGCGTGACACTAGATGAAAGGTAAGTGAACACTGCCAAAAAGTTCGACATGACATAGTTTAATAATTTGTAAGTCTTTCTAAGACGCCTTAAATAACTAAGATAAGAGGATTTAAGACTAAACCGAGTATTTAGCACTAGGATTCCGTCCAGGTAGGTCACCTTCATACAAGAAAAACAATGATTGATTGTCAAAGTACCCGGCAAAGTTTGTTCGAAGTTTGTACGGCTTTTTCTTTTACAGACAATTGTTGCATAATATTGATGGCTGTTTCACATTCTTTATCTGACTTAACTGAATTAAAAAAGAATTGAACTTTTTTCTTAAAAAAAAAAAGAAGATATGTGGTCTCAAAGTCCAGAGAATCGCGTTATCTTGATGTCCATCTTCAGGCCTGTTTCCTCGTCCAAAAAAAGAACATACTAGAAAGCGAACTTCCTCTAAAATAAATAACCTCTACACACTTCAAGTCATCAACCTGGGAAATTCAGACAGCTTGAAGCAATTTATCAGCAGCCAGAATGGCTGCTAACATAATTTCTTCCAAGAGACAGAAGCAATCGAGCGGAGCATTCCGAATGTCTCTAAGTCCACTTGTGTCTTACGCAACATTCTGGCAATACGAGTTTATATGAATGAAATCTAAATGTTTTTCTTGAATACATCTTCCTGATTTCTACGCAGTTTCTCATCTGTGGTTGTTAAAGCTTAAGGACCTTCAATTCCACAGCCTTATCTCCTTTGCTTTACAAACACGGTTTCCTTTCCGTAAATTTAAACAAAAAAAAATTCCGCACGTGAGTCATTCGCGAGCACGAGCCTAACAGGTCAAACAAATTCATCTACATAAAGCCAAATTAACAACGCCCGTTTGTGTCTTACGTAACACAAATGCAAGGGGACAAAGCCTTTTTCAGTCCTTCGTATTTATCTCTTAGGGTTCCTTGCCGAAGCTTCTTCGAGTTGAGTGTGGTATGTTTTGGTTCCTCAGGTGTATCCCTTTGGCAAACATGATTGACTCCTTAATACAAATAAACTCGGCTTAGAAATTTCTTGATTGATTTCAGTCAAAGAGAAATTAAAACTTTCAGTAGCTTTGTCATAATATTGCGGATGATTAAATTGAGTACTTTTTTTGTGGCGGGCGAACTACTTTCACTGGAACCAAACCGCAAAATATTGATTCATTAAACTAGAAGTTCAACCCTTGAACTCGTTAGATTTGATGGGCCACTCTCTATTCTAGTTGCAATATTTGTATCTTGTGAATACGAGTGTTTATTTCTCATTACGCAGTTCCTAAATGCGTAAAATTGTTGAGAGAAGTTCCTTATTGATAACTTTAGATTGTCAAGGGGAATGTCCAAGTCTCACAACTTTAATATCACTTCTTTTACTGTGAAAATTATATCCTCCTCGTTAAGGTAAAGTAAACAAACAGCTCAATATCACACTGAAAATCTTCACAGGAGAAATCAGAGAGAAAACTTCGATATCTCGTCTTATTTGTACGTCATAAGAATTGCATTTCTAGGGCCAGAATATAGCAAAATCACCTAACAGATAAGAACAGGCCGAACGTAACGAGAAACGGCGAAGATAACCTTCGATTTAGAATGGCCGATCTTTTCCCAGCCACACAACCCATGACCGAGCAATTTTCATCGACTATCCGTTTATATTTTTCCACCATGAATCATCATATAGAACCCCATATTTCGACGGTTGCATAACACAATCTTCGCACGTGCACGATCGTGAGTTAAGCCCAAGCTAGACAACCGATGCTTTCATTCGAAAAGTCAGAGAGTTCAAAGTAATTATCTTTCTCTAAAAGCATGATTTTCTCCGATGGAATGTGTCTCGTGACACTGGCACAATGGGCTCTCAGACACAATGAAGATGGTTCTCAATAAGGATTATGTCCTGGGGTGTTTAGAACCCATATCCGGTGCCAACAGAAGGCTTTTGTTCGCCACTGTCTTCCAATATTGAAGAATAAATGCAGCATTTACAACTCGAATTCACTGACCCGTGAACCAGGCATACCATATTCTCTTGTTTATGTAAACAGATAAACAGATGGCCTTTCCAGAAAGTTGTTTATGAAACGGTATGCGATTTTCTCGATCTAGACAAAAGTCGATGTGTCTCAGGACTTTAATGCTACTGCAAAGGAATAATCCTTATCCAATTTCTCTCTTCGACACTGAACTTTCACTCTCTACGAAATCGACGGGTTCTAACTTCTCCCACAAACTAACCGCTTGTGGGAAAAGAGATTATTAGGGGTCGCTCGCAGACACGTGTGTGAGGAAGGCGAACGAATGATCAGAACTAAATATAGCTCGAAAAATTATTTCTGTCTTTGTCATTTCTGATTTTTTAACTCACGTCCGACGCATCTGATCGCTAAGTTTTCATGGTTATAACCGCAAAGCTCAAACTTTGATATTGCGCCGAAAACTTTACTTTAAAATCATGTCACGAACAATCCTTCAAAACATACAAGTCGATGACTTGACATGTCATCTTTTCAGCAGGGAATAGCATAAGTTAAAACTGAAACGAAAAGGTATTTTAACGTCGTTGTTTAATCGCTCGGCTATGTCTCGTCCCACCATAGTTCTCACAACACACATAATCCTACATCAATTTTCGAGGCATCCAAGCGTCAAATCAGGGTTGAAATTTCTATCAACAATTTGGACAATAACTCTTACGCCATCTGCCAAACTGGAATTTTGTTGTTCTTCTTCTTTTATAGAGAAAATGCCATAAAGACTTAAAAGCTTTTTATTTACCGTTTACTCAGTCTCGATAGCTATCACAATCGATTTTCAAAGATTAGGAGCATTAATTGAAAACCTTGATGAATGTCTTAACAAGAACAAAGAAAAAGTGTGATAGCTTGGCAAACAGAGTGAAACAAATGAAATCGTGCCAAGCCTTTTTTTAGCGATGAATAGAGAGCGAGAAGGCAGGAAAAACACGACTTTCTTCACCGCGAACCGCACGTGCACCGCACTCCACTGGCGCAAAAAGTCAACGAGTATGAACCCACCAAAACAACGAATACCACAAAACGAGATTTAATTATCTCAACAGGAGACAGCGCAATAAGGTTGAATAATACCACTGTCAATTGGCTGTCATTGCAAGCAATCACTTGGAACAATACCAGTAGACGTGTTGGTATAACTGTTTCTCTACTCAGCTTGTATACGCGTCTCCCGGTGCATTGTTGTTACGCGCAAGGCGCTAATTTCCTCTGTTTTCACAAGCTGGACTGTTGTCATAACCGACAGGTCTTGACGCGACACAGTCGTGTGTTTCCTACACCTTTGTAACAAACAGATTTCACACCGCAGTTTTGTATTACTCCGGAGAGGGATCCACCATGTTGAAGTTTGCCGTCAAGAGGAAACCAGTCGAGCTATTTCACGAAGCAGTTGGTGTCAAGGACATTTTCAGAGTGCAGTTTCTCCTTGAACAGAATGAATCACAATTTCACGTCGATGATATCGACGAAGATGGCATTACCGCTCTACAAAGGTGTTCATTTACGGGAAACTTGAAACTTGTGCAACTGCTTGTAAGTCATGGCGCTGATCTTAACATACAAGATAAAGAAGGCTGGAGTATTCTGCATGCTGCTTCAGTAGCTCGAAATCATTCCATTATTCGCTATCTCATCACCATGGGCGCTCCGGTGGCGTTAGAGAACGACCAAGGGGAATTAGCGATCGATCTGGCGCAAGATCTGCAATCGGTTCTAATACTCGCCGAAGCTATGCGAAGGAAAGGGAAAACTAGAGAAGTCGAGCTGTTTTTGAGAAGGAGGCCCGATGTAAGAGAGCTCGTAGAGGAAAAGGTGCAGCAAAGTGAGTCATCTGGTTTGTTACAAGAGCCGCGCCGGAGAGCGACGAGCGAAATAATTTTTCCTGAAAATATTTCATCCGTTGAATCGCAAAAAAGGCGCAGTTCCTTAGAGCCAAGAGTTCCGACCGCAAATGTCAATATGAGAGATAAAGATCAGGAAAGGTTAATGGGTGTTTCAAGCTTCAGTGGGCCCAGTGGGGTTGTATTGCCCACTCAAGACCAAGACACACACACCAAAAACCGACTGCGTTGGGAAGTCGGTTGTAAGGACACGGTTTGCCTTAAATGCGGAAAGCGTCGACGGGAAGTCTTTAAACGGCAATCCACATCATCTTTGTGTTCTAACTCGTCTGACTCATCGAGTTCATCCGATTCCGCATACAGTTCGACATCGACAAATTCTGCCTCTAATGTGTTCCCTTTCGAGAGGGGAGTAATATCTTTACCCAGGCAAAACAATGATACAAGAGCGGAGAACTTATCTCAAGATCGTGAACGTGCATCGTCTGTAAACGTTTGCTCAAATCCCGGAAATTATTCCAACCGCGAGTTTCGAACTGATAGACAATTTCAATCGCGCCGTAATTCATCACCAGCCACTTACACGCATACTGATCGATATAACACATTTTACGGAGAATCAAAAGGTTTTACGATCGCGAATGCAATCAGACACCAAGTTACAAACGTGAACGAGTTGAACAGTTTTGGCGTTTCACTCCTTCACGAAGCCGCAGCGAAAGGCGATACCGAAGGAGTAAAATTACTTCTGGAACATGGCGCCGAAGTAAACAGGCATTCTTTGAACGGAAGCAGTCCTCTTCACGAGGCAGTTCGAGAAGGAAACGCTGTGACGGCCTCTATATTGATCGAACACGGTGCGGATCTATTTTCTGAGACGGACAACGGCTTGTTGCCAGTAGATATGGCTACAGACATCGAAATTAAACGCTTCATTGAAAATGCGATGGCTTTGAAATAATCGAATTGAACTGCAGTTCACAATTGTACAGTTTATCTGGAATTTCCAGATCAATTATACATCGAGATATAAAGGAAACTATATATTTCTAAATAACTATGTACATTAATATCTCAATTGTACCTCGGCAAGATTAGACGACAGAAGTAAAATTACGAAAGATAAAAAAAAAATGACAAAGACTTCTTCATTGCGACAAAATTTGTACAATCCACTATAACTTCGCATTAAAATTGCAATTATAATTTTGTTTCAGGAATCTCCCATAATGTTTACTTTAGTCGGCGGGAAAAGGTGATAGACCGACAATTAAATACGAAAACGAGAAGTTTTTAATTTCGCAAGCAAAATTTGTTTTTTGTTAAGTTGGCGGCAAACATTTTGCCGCAACTTTCCCGCAGCGCAAAAACTTAAAAAAAATAAAAAAATATATATACAGAAATGCTGCATTACTCATACTCAGTTGGAAAGCAACGCATAGAAACGCATGTTCGCACCATAAATAGACAACGATGCAAATGGTTAGCGAGTGACATCAAAATTTCCTTATTCATTCACCTTTAGACAAACTCGTCTTTCACTGGTTTTTGTTCGGGGACTTAGCACAGCACCAAATGGCTTTATTACTAGCTTAAGCTACCAGAGGACAAATATTCCGATAGGAAAGATTATTTTTCTGTAAAGAAAGCCTAAATAAACATACATATAGAGTTTCATGTCGGTACATTTACGGCTTCTTTTCAGGTCTGTTGAAAGCTGTTGTCGAATCTTTGTTTTCATCCAAACGCCAACTAGCGATAAAACGAAGCAAAAGACAGACAGCACCGTAAAGGAAAATACATCTTCGGTTACACATTAGAAATATCCCAACAAGCTTTCCGCTAAATCTTGAATCAGTATATCTGACGTTGAGATATCGACACGATTCTTGACAGGAGACATCCTTTCGAGTGCCTGATCGTCTAGCAGTTTTCTTAGATTCCAAAAAGTAAAATCAAACTTCCACTTGAGAACAAACTCTTCCTTGAGCACCAGTGTATTTTTTATTGTATAAACGAGCTTTTAACTAAGAAGGCCATTCTTTTTCAAAAGGAAAGCTATTGAAGTGTTAGCATAGGACCGCAACCATTTCGGACGATGTCAGCAGAAAGATTTATTTTGTTTACACAGTTGTACAATTATTAATGCCAAAAAGACTTTAATTCTGCTTTTCCGGCGTTTGCTTTCTCATTCAATCTTAATTATGATTTCAGTCTAATTTTCGGCGGCATAACAATTGTTTTGCGTCAAAACTGTGAACTTAAGAAATGAAACATTTCCAAACAGAAGCAGCATCCACCACTTTCATGGCCGTAATTCGACGAAATAAGAATACAATGAAACTACTTTAAAAACGAGATGCTCTGAACACGACTTCGAGAGTGCATTCTGATCGTGATTCATCGTCCGTTAGTATGTTCGTCGGTCCACTCTTTCGGCCCTTCGTAATTCCGTTTGTGCGTTCGCCGATGAGATAATTTTATTCGTCCGTTCGCTTGTTATTCATTTGTTCGTTTTTCTGTAAATTCTACTTCTCTTTCAATCGGTTTTATTCCAAGTCATGACGACTTTACTATCCAGTGCAGTCCATTTTGAAAAGACTTGGTGTTTTTGTAGACGATCTCTTGGAGGAGCCTTAATACCATCGAAAGATTATCATTTACAGCTATTCTCCACCTTTTCTTTGCACATGGGCTCCTGACGCAACACATTTTCGACTCTGCTTCCAGAGCCCAAACCTACAGTTGTGAAGTAATATACTGGCACTACCTTTGCTCCCACAACAATCCGGCCATGGGAAGAAGACCAGCTGGACTCGGCTTCAGTTGCCTGAGACTCCGCACGCAACTGATACCGTGGGCTCCTACTATTGTCAAACAATCACTTCTTCGATAAAGCGAAGTATAAGTACTGCTATTCCAATCGCCCCCAGACCACACGCGATCCAGACTACCGTCCACCAGTACCCTGGTCTGCTGTCCAGTGAAAAGCCGATAAAGCTGAAAAGGAGTTCCAGTTGTTAGTAACGCATGAAGTAAACTGTAAACTTCGTCGGAAGTTATAACGGACACCACAAGATGGCGCGAATGTTACTCGCCCATAATCACTATTATAAATCCCTCCACATTCAAGGATGCGGCCGCTGGAAAGGACGGATGAAGTTTAGAAGACCTGAATACGGAGAATTCAGCATGACAGGCCTTAGATGTAACTCCCCTATCGAAAACCGAGTCACCTTACTAACTAACCCTTTACACCCTAACATCAGTATGCATATTCTCCATACTGTCCTCTACACGTTTCCTAAGGTACCGACAAGGAGAATTTGTTCAACAATCAAGAGCTTCTTTAGTTGGAGATCATTTCCCTTATTCTCATGACCTTAACGCGTGATACAGGGCTGATAATGTAAGGAGAAAATGGAATTCTAATCATACACTTATGATATCTCTACAGGGATTGAAGGATTTACAAACACTGTGCTGTCCTACGCCGCGCCAATAACTCACCTTGTTTTACAGCACACAATAAAGTCCATTAGACCGTCATTTGTAAAATCTCCGTGCACAACAGGAGACACCGGCTCGCAAGGTGTCGAATGAGAGGCCATCAGCGAGCCATCTTTGAGAGAGACTAGTGTGAAGTCTTTCGAGCCTATTACCAAGACAGCGTCCTGCAAAAGTTAAACAGACACAAATAAATAGAAATAGGTGCGGAGTCTAACAAGCTATTTGAACTCGCTGACTCCTGTGTCTGTAGCATAAAGTAATCAGGAGATTTGTTGTTCTTGCAATATGGAATGTAAGACCTGTAGGACGTGCGAGGAATAGTTTTGGTGCCCTTTTTCCGACAATCAGCTTTTATTCAGAGAGAAAAAGTGAAAATAAATCTTAGGTACCCAGCAAACGCGAAATGGGTCACTTTCACATGGAAACGTGAAAAAATGGCGGGAAAAACAAAGTCACGCGGTCACCCTTGCCGTTCACATTTCACGAGGTGCTAAATCTCTCTACTGTGAGAGTAAAGTGTCTTGCCCAAGAATACAACTCACTGATCCAGTTGGGGTTAAATTCTGGATCTCTCGACCTAGAAATAAGCGTGTTACCCATAAGGCCACTGCACCTGCCACTACACGTTGGATTTGTGTCTGATATACGAGATCCCTGACCACGATAACATGACCAACGGTTATGTGTAATACGCATACCTGCGCTGCCCCTACTGCAGTAGATACAGCTTGAATGTTAGGTACAAGAACTTTGCCTGCGCTTTTGTCACTCGGTGGATTGTAATTTGTCCACGAAGTCCCTGTGTCCACCTGTCAAGGACGAGAACAATATTGTATTCAGGGCACGTGTTGACAGTTAATTCTTGGAACATGGCAAGTGAAAGTGACTGTGAAACAGACTGCACGCGTTGCATCGGCAACAATTCTTCGCGTGCCTTAGCGAAATAACAGAGCTTTAACACAAACTTAAACTGAAATTCTAGTGAGAGTCTGAAGTTAGTAAAACGGTGCTCAAGTTTTCCCTAAAGCGATCGGTAATTTACTTCAAGTGTTACCACCACCGCGTCTACTCTTTCAAACAGATCAAACATCGAGTCCTGTCGGATTCCCCGAGGCGCTTTGCGTTAATGGAAAGCAACAGCATGATCTGGAAGTCTCACTTGGTTATTTCGTTGTTGGCTTTGTATGTTTGTTAATGTTTTTAAAATTCACGCGCATTAACTCTTCATAAAGCGGATTTCAACGCCGGCCGACGGCACGGGAGCCCCTGGTCCGTCAGGCTGTCTTCGCTATAAAGGCGATCACGCTTCTTTCATAAATACCGGCTTTCAATCGTACCTGCCAATTCAGTTCACCAAACGGTCCCAAACTCGTTAGTCTTCCTGAAGAAATAACAAAAATACTGTCCAAGCTCCTGATGCTGTCTCGCTTGAAAGATTCTCCTGATAAATGGCTGAAGATTCCTCTTTTGTTAGGTGGACTAGGCACAAGCAACGGAGAAACCAGCTCTGGCTCATCGCGTAAATCTTCCTCAGAAAACGAGTCAAAGAAACTACCAAACGTTGAAGGACTGTGGCAGATGGACCTGCTGAATAAAGATTTCCTCCCGGAAAATGCATTGCCAGTGCAAGGACTGATCCATCCTGAATGGTCTGTTCGCTCTGACGCAAAAAAGGCTGTCACGTGATCTACAACATTGTCGTCATTTAAGTCACCTACACTTGTGGCTCTCGTAGAGATGTCGTAGGAACACAAAGGTTGACCAGACTCTATGTTTAACACCTCAATAGCTTTTTGTCGTTTTATAACTACTGCGTTTGGCTTTATTGCTTTCGATTCTGCTGCAGGTCCTGTGTTATGTTCCCTCTCTTGTGTTGCGAAAGTGAGAGGTTGCTTTTTCACGAAGTGAGCCGTTTGTAAGGTGGTGTCAGCGGGGTGTTGCCATCTGTATGGTAATAACGAGATCAGTGATTCGGTGAATTGACCCCAGTGAACTTCACCCACGTGGTACTGACTGGAATGAAGGGCCAGCTTGAAATGGTAAGCTGACAGGACATCCTTTAGAGAGAAAATAATCAAAAAGTGAATTTCAGGCAAGGTGGACGCGTTATATCGACAAAGAGTATCTCTACTCCTTATCGATAGGTTCTCTGTTTTGTTTAAACAATGTTCATGATGAGAGAGCTTTTTATCAAGTGTCGGCGCAAATAAAAACAAAAGTAATCAATGGGTAATCACAAGTGTCACAGGCTTGTCAGTAATTGTCACTTTTCCGTGTTAACCTTTGTTAATACAGTCTGTAGTCTTACTTGCTTTCTAATAAACTATGAAAATATCGCTAAGATCCATTGAAAAGTCGAAAAGTAAAACGAGCAAACTGCGAGAAAACACGAATCTTAAACAAGGCGCGGTTGGTTTAGGTTTGTATTTGCTTGGTTTACGGGATAGCGTGAGTTTTGTGTACCAACCACACAGCGAACAAACCTGAACTACTTTTAGCTACTTTCACTACTGAATTGAAAATCGTTCTATTCGGTTTCGGTTTGACCTTGCACACAATACACAACTAAACGTGTAAAATCGCGTCTGATGAACTAAACCACACACAAATTACAATGATACCTCTCTAGACATTTTCTCGGCTTCATAGTCGCCCGGTTCATGTTTCCAGTGGGTCCTTCCCGTTTTCGCGTTGAGAGCATATGTCGAGAAATGTTCCTTTCCTTCGGGTTCCTGACAATAAAAGAACGAATGATATGGACTCGCGCTACTGTGGAAAGTTAACTGTCTTAGATTTCAAACGCTGCCATCTTTCATTGTAAATGAAAATCTCAGAAATGGCTCTTGCGAAGGTGTAGGTATTTCTCTCATTATAGTTTGTTACCGAGCAGTGACGTCAGCGGTTTTCAAAAAGTTCCGTTTTTAAAGTGTTTTCTATCCACATAGCAAGCAAGGCTGGCATTTTTAATTCATTCGTTACGTAGAACGCCTCAAAAACCTCTGTTTGGGGTGGACAGTTAACACGGAAAAAGGAATATACATTACCGAAGGAATAGAACTTGCAGTTTAAAATTATATCCAATGTAGTGTGGAAGAAAGTACCTTCTTGGTGTTGCGCAGGCGCCGTGGTGGTTGCTTTGCAATCTCCTCGGCACTAAAACCGGCCGAGAAGTTATGCAGGTGGTCATGCCTGAAAGTGCAGTGTAAAAACTATATATTTTTTTACTTTCTCTTTGAAAAAAAAATTGAATTTTTAAAAACTGAAGACGCTTGCGATAAAAAGAGAAACTGTTCGGCCTCCTGTCTACCTCGTTCTACTCCTAATTATAAATGGCTTCCTCTAAATTTAAGAGCCTACAGTTTCAATTCACTATCTAGACTGACTGGTTAGGTCTGTTCCCTAAAGAGCGTTGGGGGAAGGGGTGGGTGTGGAGAATATCGACTACATAATCGATACTAACTGGGAAAGGAGAAGTTGATTTAAAGGGTCTCTCCCCTTGGTCTACCAGAGCATTGGTTACAGGTGCATGAGTGAACAAAATCAGGAAGAAATCATTACTTCAGATTGTGCTGAATTCGCTCTTCTTCGGCAATCACCCCTCCTATCAAAACTAGGCCAGATTGAGGTGCAACAAAAACAGCAATTTCCCTGCAATAAAAGAAAATGCCATGAAAATCAAGTGCTCAAGAAAGAACAACGAGTTAAGGCAAAGTCAAGGTAACATAAAAGCAATTTTTTTCAAGGGATCACTCCTGATAGAAAAGTAAAATTATTGGCACCTTAATAATGTATCCAAGTATTATCACTTTATACATTGAGAAAAAAAAGTGATGAGGGAGACAATTTACAATTTGTCCTTTTCAGCATCAAGTAAAGGATTCCAAGTTGGTAACAAAAAAAAAAACAAAACAACAACTACTAAATAAAAAACAAAATAATACATAAACTCACTTAAAATACAGTGAACCTGATGTTTCATGATCTGTAAATACCAGAGTCCTCCACTTTGGCTCCAGCTGATCAGTGTAACAATGCAC